TCCCTCTTCATAGGACCCTACGCTCATCTCCACGGAGGTAACTGCCTCGTTGGAAGACAACCTTTTGAGGACCCTGGAGCATGCCAAAGCATGGTTCTCGGGATTCCACCGCCACGGATCAACCTGACTGTTGCGTCTTGACAATCCTGAATCTTGCGAGAAGGCCATTCCTGGGACGTCAGCACCGCGAATAACGCAATTGTTGCGCCATCATAATCATAAACCTTCCAAAGCACCATTTTTGGTACGTTGATAACGGGAATCCGTGAAACTCCTTAGCAAATAAAAAACATATCCTCGCGGCGCTAAGGCGAGAGCCACATGTTGAAAAGGAGCCGCCCTGAATCCGTGAAACTCTTGCAAATGTTCAGAACGAATGCACGCGGCGCTCAGGCGAGAGCCACATGTTAAAAAGGAGCCGCCCTGAACCCGTGAAATTCTTGCAATTTGTTGGAAACGAATGTGCCCGGCGCTAAGGCAAGAATTGCAGTTTGAAAACGGCCCGCCCTCAATCTGTGAAATTGCTATCACTTTTTAAGCGTCAGGGTCGTAAATGGTCTCAAGCGAAACGCCCGGACCGCCCTAAAACTGGCCCCGACGCGGAGGAGGAGGAGGGGGTGGGTGAGAGGAAGGAGGGGGTGGGGAGGAGGGGGGTGAGAGGGAGGAGGAGGAGGAGGAGGAGGAGGAGGAGGGGAGGAGCGAGGAGGGGCGAGGAGGAGGAGAGGAGGAGGAGGAGGAGGGTAGGAGGAGAGGAGGAGGAGGAGGATGGGAGGAGGAGGAGGTGGAGGGAGAGGAGGAGGAGGAGGAGGAGGAGGAGGATGAGGAGGAGGAGGAGGAGGAGGAGATGGAGAAGGAGAAGGAGAAGAAGGAGAGGAGTAGGAGAAGGAGGAGGAGGAGGAGGTGGCAGGAGGAGGAGGAGGCAGTGGTGTTCGCGGAGGAGGAGGAGGAGGGGGAGGAGAGGAGGAGGAGGGGAGCAGGATGGAAGAGGAGGAGGAGGAGGAGGGAGGAGGAGGAGAAGGCAGAAGGAGGAGGAGGGAGGAGGGAGGAGGGAGGAGGAGGAGGAGGAGGAGGAGGAGGAGGCGGGGTAGGAGGAAGAGTAGGAGGAGGGGGAGGAAGATGAGGTGGAGGAGGAGGACGAGGACGAGGACGAGAACGACGACGACGATGATGATGAGGAGGAGGATGATGATTATGATTGATGATCGATGGTTGATGATTGACAATGACAGTTGATGATGATAGATGGTGATGATGACGATGATGATGGTGATGATGATCATGATGGTCATGATGATGATGGCGATGATGCTGTTGAAGATGATGACGATGATGCTGATGAAGATGACAATGATGATGGTGATGATGCTGATGTTGATTATGCCGTTGATGATGATGGTGTTGATGATAATAGTGATGATGGTGATCATCATGATAATGATGATGCTGAGGATGCTGGTTCTGATGATGCTGGTGATGATGTTGCTGCTAATGATACTGATACTGCTGCTGCTGCAACTGCTGCTTATGATGATGATGATTGATGACGCTGGTGGCGATGCTGATGATGATGCTGCTGATGATGGTGATGATGATGGTGGTGGTGGTGATGACGAGGATGGTTGTGGTGATGATGATGCTGGTGATGATGATGACGATGCTGATGCTGATGCTGAGGCTGATGCTGATGCTGATGTTGCTGCTGCTGATGATGAGGCTGATGCTGATGATGATGACGATGATGATGCTGCTGCTGATGATGATGACGATGATGACGATGATGATGATGATGATGATGACGATGATGATGATGACGATGGTGTTGGTGATGCTGCTGCTGATGATGATGGTGATGATAGTGATGATGATGATGATCATCATCATGATCATGATGATCACGATGATGATGCTGATTATGATGATGTTGACGACGACGATGATGATGCTGCTGATGATGATGGTGTTTATGATGATGATGATGATGATGATGATGATGATGATGATGATGATGATGATGATGATGATGATATGCTGATGATGATGATGATGATGATGATGATGATGATGATGATGATGCTGATGCTGATGCTGCTGCTGCTGCTGCTGCTGATGATGATGATGATGATGATGATGATGGTGATGATGATGATGATGATCATGATCATGATCATGATCATGATGATGGGAGGAGGAGGAGGAGGAGGCGGTGGGAGGAGGAGGAGGAGGAGGAGGAGGTTGGAGGGAGGAGGATGGAGTTGGAGGAGGAGGAGGAGGAGGAGGAGGAGGAGAATAGAGGAGGAAGAGAGAGAGGAGGAGGAGGAGCAGGATGAGAATGGAAGGAGGGAGGAGCTGAGGATGAAGGAGGAGGAGGACGAGGAGGAGGAGGAGGAGTAGGAGGAGGAGGAGGAGAAGGATGGAGGAGCAGGGGACGCAGAGGACGGAGGAGGAGGAGGAGGAGGACCGCAAGGACGAGGAGGACTTCGCCAGACGGCCTGGCCGCCCAAGGCCCGCAGCGCGCTCAAGGCCGCCAGGAGGAGGAGCCCGGCGACGGATCAGGCGCGGCTCCTCTTTTTGTTCTCCTCCGTGTACTCCTTCTCCTTCTCCTCCTCCTCCCTTCCCTCCCTCCCTCCCTCCCTCCCTCCCTCCCTCCTCCTTGTCTCCTCCTTGTCCTCCTTCTTGTCGCCTCCTGCTCCTCTTTTCCTTCTCATCCTGTTCCTCCTCCTTGTACTCCTGGCCTCCTTCTTCCTCTCCTCCTCCTCCCCCTCCTCCTCCTCCTCTCCTCCTCCTCCTCCTCCTCCTATCTCTCCCTCCCTCTTCACTCCCTCCCTCCCTCCTGTCCTTCTCCTTGTCCCCTCCTTGCCCTCCTCCTCTGCCATCCTCCTTGTCCTTCTCCGTGTCCTCCTCCCTTGTCCTCCTCCTTCTCCTCAATCTTTGTCCTCATCCTTGTTCCTCCTCCTCACTCCTCCTCCTCCTCCTCCCTCCTCCGCCCGCCCGCCCGCCCGCCGGCCGCCCGGCCCGGCCCGCCGCCCGCCCGCCGCATACCCGCCCTCCTTCTCTCCTTCCCTTCCCTCCTCTCCCTCCTGCTTCCCCTCCCCCTCCCCATCCTCCTCCCGCTTCCTCCTTCCACCTCCCGATCCCCTCCCCCCCTCCCCTCCCCTCCCGCTCTCTCCCCCTCCCGCTCCCCCTTCCCCTCCTCCCTGCCCCCCTCCACCCCCTCTCTGGCACCCTGCTCATTTGCCCCTCCCTCCCTCCCCGCCTCCCTCAGAGCCCGCGCCCTCTGCTGGCGCCTTCGCCTCTATCCCAGAGGCGTTCTGCCCTCGTGCACCTTCGCCCGGCTCGGTGCCTAACCTCGAGCCGGCATGCTATCAGGGGCTGCCTTCTGCCCTCGTGCACCTTCGTCCGGCTCGGAGCCTGACCTCGAGCCGGGATGCTTTCAGGGGCTGGCTTCTGCCGTCTCTGACGCGGCACACCCCCGTCTCCGTGCCCGGCCACGGCTCAGTTCCTGAGGCGCCGTGCCCTGGCAGGCTGGGAGCTGGCCCTCTGGGCCAGCTTGCCCCCCGTGCCTCCAGTCCAGAGGTTCGGCCGCTGGCTCCCATGAGATCCGTCTCTGCGAACACAATCGCAGCATGGCGAAAAATCGCGACCAGCGCCCTGGACCCGATCATTCTGCGGCATCTGTCAAGCCGGATCGAGCCGCGATGGTCCCCCTGGGCCCGAGGCTGGGCGAACACGCCTGGAATGAGAAAATTGCAGCGCCCTGATCTCAGGATTTGGCTCTGCAGGTTTCAGGGGCTCCCTTTGGCCCCTCGAAGGCAGCGAGCCGGCCGTGTCTGCGTACAGCCACGGCGCCGACGACGACATGTTCGAGGCCGCCGCCGCCGTCGCCCTCGACTTCGTGGGCGGGTCCGGGCCCCCCGAGCCAGGGAGCTGGCTGCAAAGGAAGAGTTGGGGGGAGTGGAGATGGGGGGGGATAAAGGGGAGGGGACGAGGGAAGGGGTTGGCCATGGGGAGGGGTTGAGGATGGGCAAGGGGCAGGGAGCGCCGCGGAGCGATGATGAGGTTGGGAGGGGGAGGGGTGGGAGGGAAGGGATGGGGAGGGAGGAGGGAGGGAGGGAGGGAGGGATCGGGAGGGAGGGAGGAGGAGGAGGAGGAGGAGGAGGAGGAGGAGGAGGAGGAGGAGGACGGAGGAGGAGGAGAGGAGGACGAGGAGGAGGAGGAGGAGGACGCGCAGGAGCAGAAAGACACGTAGTTTGCTGCTTCTTCCGCTGCCGGCTCCGCTGCTTCAATGTCTGTCCATGTGCCTACCTCTGCTGCTGGGCAGCGAGGGTCGTGCACATGCTGCCGATTGTGTGTCTGCGTTTGCTTCCGCTTCTGCCTCTTCTGATGGTGCTACCAATGCTCCTGATCTTGACACTGCTTCCCGTCATCCCTCGGTGAGTCAAAGACTGAGGCCCCGAAAATTTCAATTCCTGCGGGCCCGGTGAGCTTTCAAGCTCGAATCGGTTGAGCGATTGGAAGTTGTGACGGCTTGGAAAATGTATGCTCGAATTTCCGACGCACACACCACCATGAAGTTGCACAATCCAGAACTTGTGTCCATCGCCAAACCAGCATTACGAAGCTCACTCTGGAAGCAGCTGTTCGCCCAACCTCGTGCTCTCTACGGTGCTCTCTCAAGCCAATGTAGTGCTGAGGTGTTTGCGTGATCTGGGGCGTATTCCCTGCTGTGCGCCTTCCGCCTTTCTCTTACTTCTCATCCTCCATCTTCCTCCTGTCCTTCCACACAGCCTCCGCATTCTTCCTGGTCGTGTGCCGCTGCTCCAGAGAGGCGTGGCATCGCCAAACGCCTCCTGCGACAATTATACTTCGGCTGCGAGATGCAGGATGGTGGAAGGCACCGCCAGCAAACGGCAGACCATTGCTATTGCGCCGCGGTGCATAGCAGAAGCCCAGTCCGATGGCTGGGAAGTGCTAGATCTGCAGAGAGGGGGCCGCGGCCCTCA